ATTGATGGGCGATCCGCATTTTTATGCACTTAAACTGCTTTAGTCTGTATAATTGTGTGTGTACTTTAATTGGAAATTTAAAAGAAGGCGAAACTCGAACAGGCATTTAGTACATGAGCACCCTTAACCTAGTATTAGCAGTATCTGCAGCTTCTCCTTTGATAATTTGTTGATTCATTGTTATCAGCTTTATTAAATAAACTGCTCCGAACACAATTATATCACACTCAATAATTGATAAATCAAAATCACTGTCAATTTAATAACGCAATGTGTATTAGAAAAGTTTATCAGATCTACAGATGCACCCGCACTAAGAGAAAAATGTCAAATTCAAAGTGCATATGTGCGTCCCAAGCCTCAGGCGCGAAGAGGCCGGAGTGGGAGCCGCCGTGATCGAGAAAAATCGGTTCACCCTCTCATAAAGTTATCACTTCAAAAAATATTTGTCCACTAATTTCGTACTGCAGTGATGATCTCTTTCGACTCCCCATTTCCGAGAAAACATCCATGCTAATAATAATAAATGGAATTCACGTTGCCAGCGTACAGGAAAATATCCTTATAAAGATAAAGAACACATATGAAAAAAACCGAAAGTTATTGTGAAATGTGCCTTGTTTCAGATGTTCGCTGTTTTATGGTCAACGAATTAGTCATGCTCTGAAAAGCTACAAAAAAGTTTCAAGAAAAAGATTGCCCCATAAAAAGTGAAGCCCTTCTACCGCGCAGCAGTAAAACTTCGCACGTATGAATAATTCAAAAGAAACTTGTCTCGTGAATGGTTTCTGTTTTTTGCCGTACGTAAAGGTGACCGGAAGATAAAGCAATGATTGGACGACAAATTATTGAAATCGCAGAAAAACATTTCTGGGTTCACCTTCATTAAACTTTCGTTTGTTTAACTGGGCGATTTTTTGCTACGCACCGCGAATAATGCATGTTATCATAAAGGCCTGCAAGGGTCGGCCGTCTGCTTTTATATCGACTTCTTTATAATTGGGTTCATTTCGATGGCAAAAGGTCGTATTGAATCCAAACGCATAACAATCGACTTGGGGTCCAAGAACAAATCATTTTTTCCATCGGGGTTGGAACGTGAACTGTTTTATTCTCAAAATTCTAATTTATTTTTTCTAAAATAAATTTAACTCATCACACAACCGACACTAATCTGCTACTCAATAACGCGATGGCGCTGGATGCAGCGAAAGTTCCCCTTAAATCACGGCTGGGTTTTTCCAGAAGAAATAATTTTACTCCCATTTCCGGTTTACCTGAAAGAATCGGGGAAGACCAAATCGAAAAAGCTCCGCATCAAAATGTTCCAATTCTTTGTACAATTTGGCTCATTTTCGCCGTCGTCAGCCTTTAAGAAACTGTCGCTTTTCTTTCACTGTCATTTACGATTCAATTGAAAGATTTCCGCTACCGGAAATGACGTTCTGTATATCAATATTTACGTCATCCATCAATCACTTTGACAGTTCGATTATTGCATTCGACTAAATCGCTTATAATTTGCGGGGTAAATCCATAGAAAAGCAAAAATGACTGACGACTTTGTATTTGATACGGAATACGGTTTGGAATATAGTGAAGACAGTACTTCAGAGCCGGATGTCGATTTAGAAAATCAATACTATCTAGCAAAAGGCATTAAGGAAGACAATGCAAAAGGTGCGATTCCAGCGTTTGAAAAAGTGCTGGAGTTACAGGGCGATGTGCGAGGCGAATGGGGCTTTAAGGCGTTGAAGCAACTGGTGAAAATTCATTTTGCATTGAAAAACTATGTGGAAACTATGAAGTACTACAAGGAATTACTGGGTTACATAAACAACGCGGTTACGAAAAATCACGGCGAGAAATCAATCAATTCGATTTTGGATTTCACATCGAACTCGACCGATATTGAGATGCTTCAAAAGTTTTACGAAACTACCTTAGAAGCATTGCGCAAAGGAAAAAATGAACGGTGAGTAAGACTTTAAGCTACGAAAGAAAGCTGTTTCTTTCGAAAACTGAGTTTGTTGAATTTTGAGTCACTCTGTGTATTTTATTAATTACTGTCTAGACTTTTCAAAAGAAAAAATGCGATTGAACGAAAAAATCAATTGATTTCACCAGCTAATTAATAAGATCTGGTATTTTTCGTACCAAGGCACTCAAGAATTCACCTATTATTCTCCCGATATCCCAAAAAACATTTTTTATGGAGAACTTTGACTATCAAAAGCGGAGGAGCCAACCATTTTTTCTTAATAAAAATTAGATGATCCTTTTTTTTTTAGCGAAAGACTGCCACGTTTGATCGTATGCTTACGGGACACTCTGTATCATTCAGTAAAAGTGTGTTCAATTCAATTTTTAGATTATGGTTTAAAACAAATACCAAACTGGGAAAAGTGTTTCTAGAGCGAGGAGACTTTTTCAAATTATCGGGCATAATTAAAGAACTAAAGAACAGCTGCAAGTTCGAAGAAAATGATCTGGATCCCCACATGGGTGAGCGTATAAATAATTTAAATGTTCTGGTATTATTGATATGGTATATACTTTCCTGACTGTGTTT